GGGCAGCGGCCCCGAGACCCTGCCTCTTGGCGGGGAGGCGCGCGGGGAGCCGAGCACTAAGCAAGCAAGAGCATTAAAGCGCGCGGATCCGCTCGCCGGCAAAAGTCCTTAAGGTAAGAGCAGAGAGCAGATGCTGCTCGGCTCGGCAGACGGTGCTTACCGGTCCTCCCAAGCCCGCCTGGTGCAGGCTCTGCCTTCACCACTTGGCCATCGTCTTCTCTGAACGTGCTTTTGTTTTTAAAGGAGGCGATCAGGAGGCACAGGCAGGAGAAGCAGCTGCCAGCGAGGCTGCCGAGGACGGGAGCTGCGTTCTCCTGGCTCCCCAGAACACAGGCTGAACTTTGGGGCTTTCAAATACACCTTTCTCCTCCGCAGACACTTTGTCACATTACAAGGATCGAGTCGTGGCATGTCACTGCACACCTCACATCTGCTGCTGGAATAGCCAGAGCCAGCCCGGGGACCAAAAGGGAGCAACACTGGGATTCGCTGTCTCTCCAAGGACAGTCACCTGTGAAAAGAAGCTGGAGAAGGGCAATTTATCTTTCTTTTCCAGATGAATGAAAATACCTACAGGATCCTGTCCCTCCAGTTTTCATCAGCAAGCAGCATTAGGGAGCAACGGCTGAGCAACAAAAATGATATTAATCAAATTTATTCCAGCATCTCCTTTTTCTCAAGGAACTCTATGCCCATAGGAATTTGCTGCATGCATTTCCAAGACTAAGGACCGATGTGCCACAGGTGCATGCCAGCAGATCATGTGAGAATTTGCAGGTGAGAAACCTACCCCAGCAGGACTTTCTCTGCCCGGTTTGAAGTATATGGTTTGGTGTAAACACGTCAATTCTTGCTTCTTTCTTTATCTTTTAAATCTCTCGGGCTGGGAGATTTCTTTTCTCGTTGCAATTATGATCATTTGTAACATCAGTGCCATCAAAGATTGGAGCACTTTCCTCTCCCAGATCCTCCCCAGCGTTAACAAGACCTTGAACTTGGTGCAGCAAGTGGAAGCCACCACCAGCTCGGTGGTAAGTGTCCTCCAGGACCCTGAGCAGGACAGCTACCTGTCCAACAGCCAGTCCATGAACTCCAGCAACTTCACAGCTGGTCTGGACCATCTGTTCCAGTATTCGTACTCGGACAATGACCAGCTTTACAAGGAATACAAACCCCCTCCTCGAGACGCCATTCCGCTGCCCAAGGCTGTCCTCTACCTGCTCATGGCAGCTCTGGTGGTAGTGGCGGTGGCATATGCGATCGTTGGGCATCTCATCAAGGACCTCATTCACGATTTTATAGGTGAGTGCTGGCATCGTGCATCATGTGTATGTGGGCAAAAAGAGCCTGGGGGGCAGCCAGAGACTCCAAACTTGTTGGTTTAAGAGGGGTTTAGACCAAGCCCTGACCTTTTTATGTTTATGAGAGTGTGGATCCGTCCAGTGTGCCAGGCTCAGCTGTGTGTTCATGAACTTTCCAGATAAAATCCTTGGGGTATCCTCCTTCCTAGGGAAATGATGCCTCCATGTGTGTGTGTGTATGTGTGTCTGTATAAATGCATATGTGTGTGAGTCTGTGTTGCTGAAGGATCTTAAAATGCATGGTCCAGTTTTAACTGTGCTTGGATCAGAGGTTTCCAAAATGGAAAGTTTCAAAACACATACTTTAGGACATGGAATAATGGCCCACTAATGCCCCATGAAGGAGAAGCTGCGTGAGCTCAGCTCCTTATTAGACTTCACTGAATCAACAAACTCCTAGGAAACCTGGTTTACCAGCCTGGCTCCTTTGAATAGCACCTAGCAGAGTGATGGTAGTGTTTGAGGCTGCTACAGGATGCCTATAGGGAGTGTGTATTTTTGTAAGAATTGGCCTCTTGGCCATTTAGCTTCATCCTACTGATGAATGAGGAGATCCCTTGTCATTGGAAATAGCAGCTTAAGCCCCGTGCTGGCAGCTGCCACTGCGGGGAGGAAAATGTGCTTAGTTGGGTATGGCAAGTCCTCAGCAAAAGGCTCCTGCTATTCACCCCGTAATTTGTAAGCCTGGTGGTACTGGAGAGCGCAAAGGCACCTCTAGCCCTCATCCCATCCCTGATAAGAGTCCACACTGGGCAACGCTGAGTGATCCTTTCCCTGCCGCTTGCTGGCAGCCCCTGCTTTGGGACTTCTGGAGGTGGTGTCCGTTATGTTGTGCTTATCCTCCATGAGCGTGTGCCTAATTCCCTTCCGGATCCACAGTGCTTTCAGCCTGTGCACCATGCCCTGGTGACGGTCTCACCGCGTCCTTAGGGAGAGGGTGGCCTCGCTGCAGGAGCTGCTAGGACAGCAGCTCGGATGGAGGCCCGCAGGGGTGGGCAGACGGACGGAATT